TGGTGCTGTGGCTCAAGTGGTAGAGCGCTAGCCTTGAGCTGAAGAGCTGAGGGACAGCGCCCAGGCCCAGAGTTCAGGCCCCACAACTGGACCCAAAAAGAAAAAAAGAAAGGACTGAGCGATATATATGACTTTTAAAAAATAAGCCGTGTAGTGGTAAATGCCTGACTCCAGCCACTGAGAAGGCCAAGACACAAGGACTCGTGGAGCCAGCAGATCAGGGACAGCCCGAGTAACATAATGAAACTCTTGACTCCAAAAAGTTAAAAATGAGTATGTTCCAGTACCATGTTTCCATGTATGAAAATATAATAATAAGCCTGTCGAAGTTGTTTTAAGGGGTAAGGGAGAGTGAGAGAGGGGCTAGGTTGATTAGTTTACATTGAATATGTGAGTGGAGATGTCTTAACTTCTGTAAAACTAACACAGTAATAATAAACAAAAAATAAATTTACAATAAATGAACTAAAAAGATACAAATACCTATCAGTGGTTTAAACAGAATCTATACTTAATTTTGCTTCCTAAAATCTATCAAATGGCAGCCAAGAGCAGGGAAGCACTCTTCTATTTCTGAAGTGGGCTAGCTGGGTTGGTTAATGTAATAGCATGTGTGTAAATCTGAGAATTTCCTTTTGTAAGCTTTGCCTCTCCAGATATTTCATGTGAAGAAGAACATATATGAGACATTACTGAATTACCAAGGTGAAAGGAATAAGTCCTATTAACCAGTACATCATTATACATGAACTAGTTTATTTCTTCTAAACTGCGAGCTCTACTTATCCTAGCACTGTCAGTTACCTAACAAATACATTAGTGTTCTTGTTAAGCTCAAATTTTTTTTAAGTTAAAAGATGTACTATACAGAATAATACTGGAACATGACATTTTACAGGTTTCACAACAAATTTCAAAACATTACTTCATTTAATATAGTGGCCCATATTTTAAGACAATAAGTACTATTTCTCTGTTTTGCAGATTGAGAAACTGAGGCTCAGTTGATAAGAGATCTGGAAAAGTCATATGGCTAATGAGGTCCTAAAACTCAGATTATCTTCAGTCCAATACTCTCAGTTGCTTTAAGAAACAAGTCATTGTATTTCAGTACAATTACTTTTCAACTTTTTGTTGAACATTTTAAATTAACTTCAAAAATTATTCTTACTATCTAATTTCTAATAAGTGATCACCATTAGAGGAAATCATAGCAGTTTATAACTGCCAGACAGTAATAACATACTAATGCAGCTGTTTTACAGAGTATCAAAACTTGCAGACATAATATTAATGACAAGTGTTCAGATTTCTTTTCACTTTATATATATATATATATATATTTTAAAGGGACCTAAAGATGCTATGTGTATCACTGAAATTTATCCTTAAAATTTTGAAACCAAAAAGCAAATGGTTATGGTTAACAAAAAATTCTTATTAAGGAAGGTTATCCAGAGCACAAGGATTTCTAACCACAGATTCTAGTCCACAGGTGGGCATCAGAGGTCTGAAATTATATGACAGTTTATACCTGTGAGAAGTATGAATTGTTAGATATAATTCTTTTTTTTTTTTTTTTGGTCAGTCATGGGGCTTGAACTCTGGGCCTGGATGCTGTCCCTCAGCTCTTCAGCTCAAGGCTAGTGCTCTACCACTTGAGCCACAGAACCACTTCTGGTTTTCTTGGTTAATTGGAGATAAGAGTCTCACAGTCTTTCCTGCCTGGGCTGGCTTTGAACCACAGTCCTCAGATCTCAGCCTCCTGAGTGGCTAGGATTATAGACGTGAGCCACCAGCGCCTGGCTTGTTAGATATAATTTTAAATGATGTTTTAAAAGCAGTTATAGGAACACTTCTAGAGTACACTGGGGACTGATAATGCTTGGGACCATAATGGTAACTTACAGCATGAGATGCCTGTTTGGATTATGATTGATTAGGGTTCAGATGTACCTGACCATGTGTGATGTACCCCAGCACAAGCACTATAGGATGGCTACAGAACACAGTGCATTATCTCATCACTACAGCAACCCCAAGAGGCAGGAGAGGAAACCAACACACAGAAGGTGTAGATGGCTTACCCAGAGCCAAATCCAGTCAATATAGCATCAAAATTCATGTTTCCAATCACTAGTCTAGACCACTTAGAACATGATTGAAAAATACTAAACACTATTTAGGTATGTCAGCCCATTTTCTTTCCTAAAATTTAAGCAATTCTACAGCAGTGCAGCTGTAGAAGACAGCAGTGTGGCTTTGAGGTGTAAATTATACCTTTGTAACTTTACAGTATTTTTAGCAGCAATAATATTGACTTGCCTAGCAGAGAAAACATACACATTTGTATCTATATTATGAGCCATGCATTTGCTTTTTAGCTTACGAAGAAAAATTGTTTTATTTCTGAAAAAAGACTTATTATGACACTATATCCCCAACTCTATGCTATGTAATGTAAATTCTTTATTAATGATGATTATTTTATTGGTTTAAGTGAGGAAAAAGCTATAATTTCAGTTGATTTAGAGAATGGACAATAATGGTGCCTGAAGTGACTTAGTTTTCACATGATGTAGCCACTTATTATAACAGTTTATAAGTTATTTTTAATTCTAATAATTTTATATTTTGTTACATACACGTGTTGTTTCTTCTACTAGCAATTAAAAAATTTGAATTTATAAGAAACTGGCTTAAAAGATTGGCATTTTGGTTGCAAACACTTGTGAATGATTTCCTTTACACAAATGTTTGTGGTCTCAGGTTGTTTTTCTTAAAAAGAACAAAATTATACTCAGCCAGGTCAGATTATAAGTTGGAAATACATTTCTAGCTATCTAGCTGAGCTGTCTGTTTAGTAGATACTGTATCCCTTTTTTTTAATCAGTCATACTGGTGATATGGAGAATATTATACGAGCATCTCTATATGTGAGACAGGAAGTAGTTTAAGATAGAAAATGTTGAGATCTAATTTTTAAAACTTGATTAATACAAAATGAATGACACATAAATATGAATTCTTTTGCCATGGGATAGTTTTTTCAATTTTCAAACAATTATAGTAAAGTTAGTAGGAAATTGCACTACTGGATTGCAAATGTTTTAAGCCTTAAATCCTTACTAGATAAAACTTCTTAGCCAACATTTATTTCATTTCTGGCATTTTGTTGGAGGTAAAGTATGACAGCTGTTTAAGGAATGTGTGTGGATGTATATGTATAAGTTTAAGAACAAACAGCATGCTGAAATGACAAAGTGATTAAAAATAGAATTTAGCAACCCCAAAGTGGCATTTGGAACTTGGCTGGGATGTCTGAGAGATTGGTGATTCTCACACTTGGACAGTGAGGTTTTGAGTGCAGGTGCTCACATTTTGCCATTGGTGAACAGTTTCACAGCAAAGTAAAGAATATTCTCCCAAATTTGTCATAGAATGTTAAAATAACAGCTACTATTGGAAGAAGTTGAGTGCTTTTCATAGATAGTAAACTATGCATATCATTTTATTTGTAACCCCAGGAATTAAGAAGGGACACTGTTAAAATAACAATCATTTAAAAAGCAATATCCAACAAACCAGTACTTAATATAGTATTTAAATTAATAATTAAAAACCAAATGGAAGCAGTATCTAAGATAATTCATCACAAATACCATTAATTCAGGTTGTACTTATTAGAAATGATAATTCAACATGGGTAACCTAAAATGTACCTGTATGGATAGAATGTTTTTTTTTTTCATATACAACCTTACTGAAAGCAGTGTATCTGCATTTACTAACAAAGCTCATGTTAATAAAATATTTCTAAAGTATATTATTTCCTAGATAACTCACTAGTTTGAAAGTCATTCCAGAGATTTGTCTGAATTTCTATTGAAACCTAAGCCTTTAATGAAGACATGCTTCTAAAAATAAGGCATTTTTCTACAACCTGCTTATGAATAGAAAACAAATCTTTGGTTTTTAGTTTAAGTGGCAAGAAATACTTTGCAAAAAGAAAGGCTAAATAAACAACACAAAGAGCTCTTAATAAGCAATGGGAAACTCCAAACCCCATCAAGGTCAATAGAGTACCTAAGGCACCTCAGGTTCAGATGATACAATCATCTTTGCTTAGAGTTTTAATAATCTATATACATGATTCTTACTGTCTGGAGAACATGAAAGGTCAGGTCCCACAATGATTTCTGTGAATGGGAAAGAAGAGAATGGTAAAAGCTGACAATTGGGTGAGACACTACAAAGTATCTCTTTCACCTCCTCTAATTGTAGTAAGATGAGGAAATTGAGGCCCAGTCCAGAAACAAGAAGTAATAACACTTTGTATGTCCAGGTTCCTAATCCATTTATCTTAGATTCCAGATTTCAATGCCTAGTGAAAGGTTTCAGAGATGTAAGTTTGAAAAAAAAAAATCCCCATCAAATCTCCAAAGGCAAATTGGAAATGCATAATACTTTACTGTCTTAATTCCTTTATACCATGTGTTGGACAACTTAGCTAATATGTTAATTGAGTTACACAATTCCTTTCAATTCTATCTAAAAATAGACAAAAATTAAATGAGAAATTACAGAAGATTCCATTTGAGCATACATAAGGCCATGAGACTTTATATGAATCACTGTTTCTTGGGAAGAAATAAGACATCCAATGTCCAGTTCTGAGAGAAAGCTCCTGGCTAGTTCTCCAGTAGGCTCTCCACTCTTCCATGGGGAAGCTCACATACAAGACAGTACATCATAGATTTGTGACTGATAGGAGCATTTAAGGCTGTCGTTTTCAAGTATCAGTGTTTAGTGTTCCATTACCCAATTTGTGCAGCAGACAAAGCGATAAGCGCAAGTCACAGAAATGAACAAAAGTCCACCAAAGATAAAGAAATCACCATTTAGGCTACAGCAGGTTCAAGTGTAAGAAAGTCTGGAAAAACTGGGTTAGATCATGCTTCTCTAAACTGCATTAGCTAGTTCCCACTAAAGCTCTGTTGCATGGCATTTGGTATAAGGCAGATCCACAGCAGATGAAGGAAAGAAGCTGAATTAGGTAACAGAACCCATTATTAAGATAGTTCACCTCTTAACACAATTCTATGACCTCTTTTCCCAGGTACAGATTAAAAACAACTCCAGCATACCAAACACACTTACAGATGAACATGAAAGTTTGCTTCCAATTTTTTTTTTTTTAAAGCAGAGCCTTTCACCTAGGGACTAACAGATACTGCCTCTGATTAAACCACATTATTTACTTCTGGCTTAATGTAATATTGGGAAAGGTAATACAACTGGAGAAAATAGGTGTTTGGAAGCTAGGAGTGTCCACTTCACTTATACTCTAGGTGTACATCTAAGTTGTGGTTCTGTAACTTCTGTGGTTCCAACAGCTAGCTGAAGGGTGACATCTTTATTGTGGAAGCAGCTGCTGTCAAAGATTCCATGTAACATGCTTTGAGTCTAGGTTTTTCCTCTTTTGTGCAACTTACAGAGACTCTCCTGTGGTTTGGTCAGCATACACACTTGTTGTTTCATTTAATGTGCACAGTCAATGTGAAATTAAAAAAATTATCACCTATTTCAGAAAGGTAAGTAGAGTAGAATGATGGCAGAGTCTGGCCCAGAATTTTAATTTGTAAATTTAGCATGTATCTCATGCAGTTTGGGAAGCATCAAACTAAATCTATTGCCAGAAGCCTTGTTACAGTTTAATGTACTTTAACTAAAATGTGTAAATTTTTTTTTAGTGTTCATGATGAATGCATTTATGACCTTAGTACACTTTTGGCATTCTTAAAGGAAGCATGATAAGCTTTAATAGAGAAATATTTAGGTTACACTTAACTTGTGCTCAGGTAATAATAAAACATTTGTCCTTTTTGATTTCAATACATTCTGTCCTCAGGTATGGCCCATCTCCTGTACACTTGGAGCGACCTTTGGCTACGTGGCTGGCCTTTTCATTTCACCACTCTGGATATACTGGAATAGAAAGCAACTGACATATAAGAACAATTAAGAGGAACAAAGGGAGAAGATAATTCTTTGTGCAGATTCTGCAAGAGATGTGCAGAAATGTAGATGGTCAAAGCCAAGCAGTTCCATTTACAGCACTGATTTTTATGTAGTTTCAACGTGATGTGATTGTAGCTTTTTAAACTATGAAACCCCTGAGAGATTGTACCTTCTAGTGGAAATAAAGTATTTATAATAGATTGTGGCTTCAGATGCTGTTTGCTGCTTCTTAGACCTTTAAGAAACATTCTTAATCAACTTCATAGAATTTTGAGGACCCATTTCCCCTCCCCCCAAGTTTTAAACTGCTTCATTATGACAAATCTGGGCATAGCCAATGCTTCTGAAAGAAATAGTTGCCTTGGCCACTGAAGATGTTTCTCACGTAATCAGACAACAGTTTATACATCTTGATCCTATTCTTTTTTTAACTGTGTGTTTCTTTGGAGTTAAAATGGCTATGATAGCCTCATCAAAAACAGTCTTCAGTCCTTTCTGGGTTAAAGCTGAACATTCCACATAGCAGCATGCTCCTATCTGGGAGGGAGAAAAACCACAAAAGATATAAACATCTGTTTTACGCAACTGGTATGATACAGCACATGATAAGAAAAAGCATCAAATACAGCCATGCACAAAGAATGTACTTGCTATCCACATTAATAACACCCAGAAGCAATCAATTGTTAAATACCCAGAGGTAGTCAATTGCTACAGTACTAGCGTGTCCTTTCAGATTTTCTCTATGAAGAATTCTCTCATCAAATATTTATTGGGTGTCTACCTCACATCAAACACGGTTCAGTTCCTAGAGATATTTCAATGAACTGAGTCAGAGCTAAGGAGTCCTGCTGCTTAGTACATACATTGACTTAGGTTGGGGAGAGAGGAACACAAAGGGAATTCAGAGCAGATGGTAAATACTGGGGAGGAAAAAGCAGAGAAGGGCTTTGAGGTAGGGAAGTCTCAGTGGGTCCAGGCTCCAGACAAGTGGTACGGACAGAAGGGTGCAGATGCAAAGACCCTGATGTGGGTGGTGCTGGGAGCCTTCCCACAAACAGAAAAAAGGCTGGGGCAAAAGAGGGCGCGCATCACTGTATGAGTGACAACATCAGCAAGGCTGATCATAATCGCCACCTTCTACCCTCAGATGGAACTGTTCACTCGCTGAAAAGCTGCTATACACACTTCCTGAAACGTAAGAACCAGCAGAGAATAAAATTAAGTCCCTACCCTGTTCTCCTGCAGCTTATTGCATTTTCGAAGGAGGAGACCAATCCTGAACTAGCAAATATAGAAGTGGAATGTGAGAAACTAATATGGTCGCAAAACAAATGGGAAGGTAGGGCATGGGGAATAAGCAGGGACACATGGAGAAATTGACACTTGAGCTGAAATGTGAAAAGAGTAAAATAATGAATGAAGTCCGCATAGTAAAAAACCCTCGGCAGAAAGCCCAGCAAAGGACAAAGGCTTTAAGGTAGAATGACAGAGGGGCCTGTTGGCCTTGGAATGGGGGGAGTGGGAGGGGTTGGACTTTACTCTCATGTGTGGAACCCACTGGAGGATTTTGGGCTGAGTGAGCTGACAGCTTGTGTTTTAAAACTCACTCTAAGGCTGGGAAGTTGGCTCTGGTAAAGTGCTTGCCTCGCATGCATGAGGCCCTAGGTTCGATTCCTCAGCACCATATAAGCAGAAAAAAGCCAGAAGTGGCACTGTGGCTCAAGTGGTAGGGCGCTAGCCTTGAGCTAAAGAGCTGTGGGACAATGCCCAGGCCCAGAGTTCAGCCCCCATGACCCACCAAAAATGAAACAAAACAAAACCTCACTCTGGCCAGGAGCCAGTGGCGTACACCTGTAATCCTACCTACTTAGGAGGCTGAGATCGAGATCAAAATTAAAAGCCAGCCTAGGCACTAAAATCCATAAGACTTTTATCTCTAATTAACCATTAAAGAGCCAAAAGTCAAGCTGTGGCTCAAGTGCTAGAGGACCAGTCTTGAATGAAAAAGCTGGGCATTACTTAGGCCCTCAGTTCAAGGCTCAGGACTGATATGTAAGATACACACACACACACACACACACACACACACACACACACACACACACACTCACTCACTCACTCTGGCTGCTATATGCTGTGTTGAGTGCTGTGTTGAGAGTGGACTGTGCCGGCTATGATGGGCAGAGACAAGCAGAGGTGAGTTAGAAGCTGATCCGATAATCCAGGCCAGAGCTAAGAAGCATTTGGATCCTGGATCTGTTCCAAAGGTAAAACAGTATGTTTTGTCGGGAGATCTGGAAGTATATGGTAAAAGAGAAACAGCAAGGTCAAGTATGATTTCAAAGTTTTGAACTTGAGTAATTGGGAGGGGAGGCTTGGAGGGTAAAATTAGGAATTCTTGTTAGGACATGTTGACTTTGGGATCCTTGGCCATACAGATGGACTTGTTGAGTAAAGAACTAAATCGTCACATCTAGAGTTCAGGGAGGAAATCAAGGCTAGAGGGAGATATCTTCAGTAGAAGACAGTTGAAGTCACGGGACTCAGCAGTTCCCTAGGCCCTATGGGAGATGCAAAGATAGCTGAGAGGCCTAGAGGGGAGAAGAAGCTAGAGAGTGCTCAAGGAAGCAAGTAAAGAAAGTGTTTCCAGAAGGGAGCTCAGTGGCAAGTCCTTACCTAGACTGTGGGAGTCCAAGTTTGATTTCCTACACTGAGTCAAATGCTGCTGCCAGCTTTTTACCTAGGATTGTATTGTGTTGGAACAACTTTCTTCCCTGAAGCTGCGTGATATATATGAACATCTCTAGATATTTTACTATGAATGTTTAATAGACGCAGGGAGTTTTTTGTAAACAATGCAGCATCTTTAAGTACATTTCTTTAAGTACATTCCTGATCACTGTTTCCTTGTAAAGTGACAAGGTGTAACTATGTATTTTTATAGGTACTTAGTGAAGTGCTATCTGTACTGTGTGAGGTGGTTAAATCAAGCTAATGGGCATGTTTATTACCTCAAATACTTGTGTTTTGGGTAACAAATTTACTTTCAGCAGTTTTAACACATAGACTACACTGTAACTACATTCACATGCTATGAAATAGATCTCAAACTTTGTATTCAAAGCAATGTCAGATAATTTTCTTAGGCTAAATTCCAAAGCAGGAGTTGTATGATTGATCAACATTATGTGTGTGATTTTAAGGCTTTAGCATCTTGTCGAGAGTGCTTTTGTTTTACTACCACCAACATAGCACAGTGCCTATTTGCCTTTGCCCATGCAAAATGGAAATAATTCATTTTCCATTCCTTTGGCAACTCTATGAGTGGAAATTGAATTTATATTTGACACCAAATGAGTTTCAACATTTCTATTTTCATTCTGTGTATTCTAGGCATATTTCCTATTGACTTCCTCAGGTGATTTTATTTCCAGGGGTCAATGTCTTTTTTCTGATTCATTCATTTGAACCAGGATTCCTGTGTACTAAAGATGTCAAGTCTCTTATGTGACCTAATTTTATTTCTGGCATTGAACATGATATGAGAGTCTTATGTAGCTAAGATATTAAGATGTTCATTAATGACTTTTACCCCTATGTGTGACACTCAGAAATTCCTTCTTCCCTCAAGATGACAGAATTAAGTTGAAGAAACCCTAAACAGATTTGTTAATGTATCCATTTATCTTTTAACTTTGGAAAAACTATTTCCTCATAATTGTACATTTAGATTCTGCTTCCACAAGAGGCACAGTAAAGTCACTTAAAAAACAGAACCCAATAATGTTAGGGGCAAATAAAGGACAAAAGGTAGATGTAGCTTTGAGGAGGAATTATACAAACAAGCACACATTGTCTGCATCTAGACCTAGCCACCATTTTCTGTTTTGAGCCACAAATTTCAACAGTAATTCTGTGTCACCCCATGCTCAACTCCATGAGTTTTAGCTGAAAACAACATGTTTTTGACAGAGCACAAATGTGTAAGTAATTGAGAAGGGCTTAAAAGTTCAGTATCTACTTCTCTCTTTTACTTGTGGCACTTACTAAGCAAATGACAACTCCTTGAGCCATGCCACCCTTTTTTTTTGCTTTAGTTATCAGACCTCAGTCTTCCTTCCCATGCCACCGATAGCTGAGGTTATAGATATACACTACCAGGCCTGGCTTGTTAAGATGTGGGTTTTGCTAATTTTGTCTTGGGCTGGACTTGAACCATGATCCTCTTGATCTCTGGCAGCCAACTAGCTGGGATTTGTAACCATGGTGCTCAACCACCATTTAGTGCCTACTTTCTTATATCTCTTCCTACAGATGACTTTTTTTTTTTTTTTTTTGGTCCGGTTGTAGGGCCTGAACTCTGGGCTTGGGCCTTGTCCCTCAGCTCTTCAGCTCAAGACTAGCGCTCTACCACTTGAACCACAGCGCCACTTCCGGCTTTTTTTCTTTTTGCTTATGAAGTGCTGAGGAATCGAACCCAGGGCCTCATGCATGCAAGGCAAGCGCTCCATCACTGAGCCACCTTCCCAGCCCTTACAGATGACTTTTAATTAACACACAGTTGCATCGTAGGATAGGTGGAAGAGACTGGGACCTGGAGTCTGGCTTATGCTCCACCACTTTTACTGCAGGGCCTTGGGCTAGTTCCTGGTATCTCCAAGCCATCATTTTTTTCTCAAACCTGCCTCAATGGATCAATGCAAAGATTGAGTGAGATAATACATAGAAACCACTTAGCACAGTGCCAGGCATACATAACTACACGGTGTTAACTGCTACTGTTACTTTACCTTTATTTTTAAATTCTGAAAATGTTCCATTACCTCTTTTGCTAGTTTTTGTCCTTGTTCCACACATATTGGTTTTTCTTTCATATCATTCAGTCTTGCTAATGTTTTGGGGTCATCTCGGAGATCAATCTAATTAAGAAAGGTCAAAAATGTCCCATAATATTACAATTATTTAAAGAGAAATAAAAACATTTAGCCCCCACATACAAAAAAAGATTAAACAAAAAAACTTAATTTGTAAAGTTAATAATTGTTTTGGGTACTGTTTTCTCCAAAATCATGGTAGAATTAATTAACTGGAAACTGATTAAACATTTACCATTTGGTAACCACATTTATTACCCCCCCCACAATAAAGACTGTACAATATATTTTTCAATGGGCAAAAGCAAAGCAGACATACCTGAGTTCCTATTAATAAAAAGGGTACATTTGGTGCATACTCCTTAAGTTCGGGTACCCATTCCTCTTTCACATTTTGAAACGAGGCTGGATTTACCACAGAGAAGCATATGAGGAAGACATCAGTCATTGGGTAAGATAAAGGCCTCAGACGATCATAGTCTTCCTATAGGACAAAAGGGAATCTCATTATTTACATGAACATGTCTACAGCCAATAATAATATGCATGTGAGGTCACATGTTCACCAGGCCAGTTCAGAAGCACCCTGAGTTCTACAAATGGAATGTTGGCCCTCCTCATACAACTAGGAAGAGCTATCAGAAATTCCATTTCTTTTTTGCTGTTCTTTTTCAAAATCCTAAACACCACTGGGTGAAAATTTGAAAACTAAGAAAATAGGATGTGGTGTAATCTTAACACTTAGGAGGCTGAAGTAGAAAGATCCAAAGTTCAAGGCCAGCTTGGGCTATAGACCAAGACTATTTTAAAACAACAAAAACAAAATCAGAAAATACATGGTGATTACTAAAAGCTATTGCTGGAAACCTTTGGAACTGAAAGCACTGCAAAGAACTATAAGTTGAACTAAATCTAAATACTAGACTTTGTATTAAGATAATGAACATTTACTATATGTCAAGCACTGACAATGTTTATATGAATTACGAAATCCTTACAGTCCTAAGGAGTGTACTTGTCTTTGTTTTCCTTTTGTGTAATCACAGGCACCAAGACAGATAACTTACATAAAGACAGGCAGCCATAAATAAGGAGCTGGGATCCAAATCTAGAGCTGTTAGGGCTACAGCTTTACTAAGACCTGTGAGTTTTGCTTTGTATTTCTACAATTTTCATTGTGTGTGTGTGTGTGTGTGTGTGTGTGTGTGTAAAGACAGAAATCTAAGTGTGAATCCATCAAACTCCCTTTTTTCCCCAACTTGTATTTTCTTTCCCAAATATTTCCCTGAGTGTTCTTCCAGTTCTTTTGTCTGGGTATACACACCCACAACTGTCCATGTGAATTCATCTGCACGCAAAGGAGACCACACAGAGCGAGTGTGCTCTTCTACAGCTTCCTCGTGCAGTCCGTCTTGGGGATGCCTCCACATCAGAATATATTAGGTTACCAAAGATTTAAACTGTAGCTTCACAGCTGTCCTGATGGGTGTAGTTAGTCTTGTTTTGCATGGAATATTTCTGGGACACCAAATTCTGCTTTTTAAAATTCCACTGAAGGAAGCAAGTCAGTATTCCATTTTTGTTGTGGCTAGACAATCAGCCCATTTCAAGGAAACTGATTTTGATGTTGGCCACCTCCCCTCTTCAATGACTCACTTCACTGTGAGAACAGCACACATGTGGAGCTAAGAGAATATTAAAAGCAGCTTCCACTCAGTTACTCCAGTACCATTTCCCTTGTGGACCAATTTTCCTTCATGTCATCTTCTGACATTTTTCTTAATATATGTTCAACTCAAGCATGCAAATGTCTCTTGATATTTGTGGAGGATGCATTCTGAATCCCCAGTAATACCTGAATCTTTACGTACTCAAGTCTTATATACATATAATCACCAGAACTCCTCTGCAGACTTACAGGAGGAGCTCTGTACATGCTCAATACACACCCTAAAAATATTTTAATGTACAGTAGGTTGAATCTGCATGCATGGAACCTACAGATACAAATGTTCATTGTATTAATGCCTCAAACTCAGGCTGGAAATGAGGCTTAGTGGTAGAGTACTTGGCTAGTATGCATAAAGCCCTAGGTTTGATTCCTCAGTACCACATAAACAGAAAAATCAGAAAGTGGCACTGTGGCTCACACAGTAGAGTGCTAGCCTTGACCTAAAGAAGCTCAGGGACAGTGTCCAGGCCCTGAGTTCAAGCCCGAGGACTACCAAGAAGAAAAAAAAGTCTCTGACTCAACTCTGCAGGCTAATCCTTCTGTTGTTTTACAATGATTTTTTAAAATTTTTTTAGAAATGGAGGCTTGTAACTAGTTTCCATCAAAGCTGTGCCCTGGTGTAGAAATTAGTAGGGAGAAAATCAACTAGAATGCATGTGCATCATCTTATACCCTGCCTAGTTACTACAAGAGGGCTAAAATACAAGTAATATAGTTAATAAATGGGCAAATAATATGAGCAGACACTTCCCAAAAGAAGTACAAATAAGTAAATCGTATTTTTTAAATGCTCAACATTTTTTCACCAGGAGGGAAATGCAATCAACACTGAGAGTACATCTCATTCCAGTCAGAATGACCATCATCAAGAATACAAACAATAAATACAGGCCAGATTGTGGTGGGGGCCAGGGAGGAACCCTTATATTCTACTTGTAGAAAGACAAATTAGTGTAGACATTATGGCAATCAGTATGGAGGTTCCTTTAAAAACTAAACATAAAATTACCATAGGAGCCAGCTATACCATGCCACTCCTGGGTATACAACTAAGGAATCAATGCAAACATATACTAGAGATCCTGGTACCCTATGCTTTCTGCTGCACTACTCACCATAGCAAAGGAAGGGAATCAGAGTAGGTGCCCCTTGATGAGTGAATGGATGAAAATATACCAGATATGTGCACAGGGGAGTATAGTCAGCCAAAGAAAGAAGGAAAAATGAATGGAATTGAGGTCATCATGTTAAGTGAAATAAACCAGACAAACAAATATAATATTTTCTCTCATATAATGGAAGCTAGAATTAAAAAAAAAAGAACAAAGAAGTAGAGGAATTACTAGGGAAGGAGTGTACAGGAGAGTAGTTAAACCAAAGCACAATTGCATGTATGGACAGTCACAGTGAAATCCATTAATATATACAATCAAAATGAATTAGTAATTACAATGTTAAAACCAGGTTGATCTGGTGGTAGTGTGAGTAGGTATTTTGCCTATGCTTTCTGCACTGCCTCATTCAAACTGCAAGTGCACAGGCAACTAAGAAACTGGACTCACTCTCACCATCCTAAGGAGCTGCTCTAGGCTTCAGAGCAAACCTGCACATGCACAGTGGAGGTGTTCTCATTAGAATCAGTCCTCATCCATATTTAGGTTTCCAATTTTCACAGAAACAGAAATGGGGATACTATCCCATAGGATTCCAAGCAATAAATGAAATCATGTAATTGAAGCACTCAGCACTGCACTTGGCACATGAAAGAACTTGCTCTGTGCTTTCACATAAACTCCTTGTCCCATGGGAAGCTGAGTCTGCTTCCTCTGCAATCCATGCAAGGTCCCAGGAGCGCTGTGCATTCCTGGCTTTGGCACTTCCTCCAAAGACAAAAAGGAAAAGAAACTCTTACTGGGAAATAACATTGTCTAAATACACCAACTGAGGTCTCTTGAGGGCAGTATAATTTTCAGATTAACAAAAAGAGGATGAAATATTATTACTGCACTAATTAGTCATTTTGAAACTCAACAACCTTAGATTCCTTAAAACATCAAAGGAAGATTATTCAAGAACACCAAGTTAGATAGTTTAATGACTATTTTACCTCAAGTTTATCTCATTAGGGAAATAGAATTCTACACACTTTTTCCAGAGGGCTATAAAAAGAAATCTAAAGGTGTTAAATCCAAAGTTCTCTAGAAATGCTTACTAATATTAACCCAACTATTCCATAGCACTTAAGTCTGTTACAAAGGTTCCTTTCTTAAACACAGTGAACCAGGTCTGACTTCCCTCAGTGGCAAGATGTGGACACCGTGGAAGGCAATTAGATCGACCATTTCTAGGCATTTGTTAAATTGCAGATTTTGATAGGATAATTACATGTGAAGAATGAGTTGTTTTTTGTTTGTTTTCTGCCGGTCCTGGAACTTGAACTCAGAACCTGGGTGCTATCCTTGAGCCTCTTTGTGCTCAAGGCTAGTACTTTCCCACTTGAGCCACAACACCATTTCCTGCTTTTTCTGAGTTGTTTATTGGACTTGAGTTTCACGAACTTTTCAGCCCAAGCTGTCTTCAAACCATGATTCTCATATGTCAGCCTCCTGAGTAGCTAGGATTACAGGCATGAACCATCGCTGCCTGGAAGAACTAGGTTTAAAAAAAATTTTTTTTAAGCAAGTATGTTTAGAACTCTTTGGAAAGAAATGTTCCTTTTATACTACCTAAAATGAATTCCTTCTGTTTATCACCTCTGGCTAAATACCTGACAGTTATTATAAGAAGGAGACCTTTCTGTTTCATCCAGCCTGAGTAATTAGAAGGCTAATAATAGATAGCAAATTAAAAGAAAATAAATTATCCCCTGTGCATACCTTAGCCAACATCATATAAAATTGTTAATACCCACAGCACACCATATCTTGAGAGTGAACTTATGTGAAACATTGGAACAGGTGGAAATAACTAGAACGTTTCAGCTCATTTTATATTTTAAATCTGACAACACAAAGGAAGTTAAATGTTTTTAAATGCCCTACTGTTAAATGACCACTTAGCAAAATCAGTTCTTCCAGCTAACTCTCCAGTGTCCTCCTAATTAACACACCAATTAGATATTTGAGTTCTCATTTAAAAAGTAGGTATTTAAACATTTAACTGGAACACTCTCAGGAACAGAGAAAAAATGTATTAGAAGCCCAATATCAAAACCATGAAAAAAATTGGTGAGTTTGGTTAACAGTCTTTTGCAAGTTCTTTAGCTTCTTAACTGGATAGCTAGATGTATCAGTTTTTAAAAGTATGTTCTGATTTGTGAGTGGGGACAGGAGGAAAAAACTGGGAGAGAGCGAGGGAAGGGGTGACATTGTCCAAAAACAAATGTACTCTTTACCTGACTTATGTAACTGTAACCCCTCTGCATATCATCTTTATAATAACAATAAAAATAAAAATTTTTAAAAAGTGTGTTCCGACAGTTTGGTGATTAGGTTCTCCACTCTTGTCCAGAGAGGATGACAATCATAGTCCTTAAAAATATCACATACTTGCCACCTGATAAGAATCACAGACAAGAGGCCAAAGAAATCTTCCCTGAGAGGAAAAATAAAAGGTGCTCAAGAGCAACAGAGAAACAGCAATACTCATCCATAAGACACTCCTTACAACAGCCTGCCGGGCCCATGAACCTACCCGCTTCTGCACTATTCTTGCCCCCCTCAAGTGGACCTGGGTGTTCTCTTCTAATGTAT